TCTTGTATGAAGGTGGATTCACTCATTGTGTTGGGAAGAGTTATATTCAACTTGTGGGTAGCGTGGCCAACATTTTGTTACCAATGTATTAAATATTATTTGGAACGCTACTTGATGAGGTGTGAATCCATCTTAAGTCTTATGTGTCCAAGGATATTTAATACATTTGTGTAATACACAAGTTGCAACTAGTACTGTATTGCTGTATCCGAGATACTCAGCGGCAGTAACAGATCACCACTTGATGTCAATCATCTGCTGAGTATTATTATACCATCAACTACAGATACTTAAATGGAGTATATTCACATGTAACTGGCACACAAATTATATGTTGGAATAGAAATGTAAATTAAATATGGATAAGAATATAGTTGAGAGGATGCTACGCCTGCAGATGTCTCAGAATCCCGCAAGAAAAGATCAATTTTTAAGATATATTACCTAATTGATTAGGAAAAGGAAAAATACATATGTTTGTAATTAGTGTGTAAACTGATAACTTACTATGCGTAAAGAGAAATTGCCTATACTAAAAATATTGAAGTACAAACATTTTTTATTAATAAATTAAACATTTTAAAATGTGCATAGTAAGTGATCATTGTATACACTAATTTCAAATGTATACATTTTTAATTTTTATAAATAGGTCTTTTTTACCTATGTTCTACTGTTGCAACTAAAAAACCAAAGTTTCAAAACATGAAAAGGAAAGAATTTTCAGTGTCGTGTTAAAAGTATTAGTTTTTTTCTCATTAATGATATCAAACAAATAAAAACGCCATGACAGGAATTATAATGTTTATTTTATAAACTTTTGGTCTCTTTTAGAACTACTGCTGAGTGGTTGTATCCCGCGCAAAATAGATTTTGCCGTGTTGTCCATGTTTATGACAGACCACTGGCAACACGCCGGGTGTAGCGGCCTCTTAACTGGTCATATTTTTTCCTACACTGGTAAACGATAAAGTTCCGTCCTATTGTTCTGTGGTCGTGGTGTAAGCTAGTATTCAAACAAAAAAGGTTAGGTTAATAATTTATAATATTCTCTGCGCGGTGTTGAATGTTTATGTATTTGTCAGTTAAATTACTGTCCTATTTTAGAATGATCTATTTGCCTGTCGTCGTCTTTTGAAACCGTAAAATTGCTTCAATTTTCTAATATTAATGGGAATCAAGCTGTCACTAAGGGGGGTCAAAATTAGAATATTCTGAGCTGTTATCAAAAATGTAAAGAAACTCAGTTGTTGACATTCGATTTTGTTTTTTTGGTGTACTCAAACAATAATTAACCATGACATTTTCACTGAATTAGTATTAACATTCAATCCCAAATTTTATAATCTAAACAAAATCCCCTTGGTGGTGGGGCTGGAGTTGTGAGCGTCGGGAAGAGACACTTTCCTTTTCAAATATAAAGGAAAAAAAATATAGGCACTGTAGAGAGTTTCGATCTATGAGGAAGTTGAACGCAAATTTTCATTTTTCATATTATAAAAAAAAAAAAGTGAAATGGAAGTTATTTTTAATAACAAATTTTTCTAGAATATATTGAGTATTGGTAATTTGGTATCAATTCGTCAGTCACTAATAAATTACCAGCTAGACCTAGGACCTGCTCATTGCAATAAATAATTATTTTCCATTTTTATCTCGATATTCGCATAACAACGGGATAGCATTCGAGATCTTTAACATCATACAAGGCACTTAATATGATCCTAAAAACCACAGCAAGATTATAAATAAATAATTACAATCGTGAAACACAATTGTAGTATAACTACTGTAATAAATAATAATTGTTTAGGATAACAAACAATATTATATAATTTTTTGAATTATAAATTTATAACAAATAAACCAAATCAATTTTGTTAAAAATCGGGGATCCTTAAAAATTCCTGTATTTTAGCCATTTTTTGTTAGAATCTTCTTTCTCATTGATTGACTATTAAAAATCAGCAAAATTCAAAAGCTGGCACCATTCAAGTTCAAACTGGGTCCAATTAATTTCCAACAAATTTATTTTATTTAAAATTTAACCGATTATTAATGATTTAAAAGTTATCTACAAAAAAATATCATTGAATAGGTTTGGTTAGGTTAGCCTATGACGTACATATTGACTAGACGCAGCGTCTACCTTAGCCTACTTGCCCCTTTTTTCTGGGTCTGGTCTACGTCCTACGACATTATTATTGTACCTACCTACTTTAATTGTACTAAAAAGTAAATAAATGTATCTTCTAAATATTTTAATTATGATTGTATACTTATAACCTTCTGTCAAAAGCATTATAATAGCTCAAAATGAATATTGCTTTCGTCATTTAGTCGGAAAATAATATTAATTATTACAAAAATATTTAAAATGATATGACCAAGAAACGTGTCTTGTGTGGGCATTATTCACAATTGAATATATTTGAATCACAAATAACAAGTAATTAAAGCAGTTTTGAAGAAATTATGACTTAATTTTCAAATCTCTAATCTAGGAGACAATTATGAATATATTTTAGATTATTATTGAAGTGAATAATAACTTCTTTAGGCGTGCTAGTATACTAGCGTTAGTCGGTTAGGCCGTTACGACCAAAAAGTGTTTACTTAAAAAGGCTTATTCGCCTCCTATCAGACGATCGCATTTTGCTGACCGTTGCCGTGTTCATCCTGCCACAGTTTAAATATGCCGGGGCTGGCGAGAAACGTCACTGTTTGTTTACAACAATCTAAATTTAGGAATATATAAAAAACCAGACACCGGCCTGCAAGACCCGGTCGTCTGTATGGACCCCAACCCCAAGTCCCTAAGATTATCATCATGGTAGGTAATAAATATTAATCATTTTGTCTCATATGTGTATATAATTATAATAGTAAGCTACTTTCAATGGAAAATTGTGTTTATTTTTATATTACATACTTAAAATTTCACCTTAATAAACCTTTTTCTTCATACCCTCTGTAAAGAAATTTAATTTCATCCGCTCGTACCTATACTATCCTAGGTTGCAACGCTCTCAATTTTTTTTATTGTAAAAAAAATAGTATTGTACACATTATATTGAACGAACTAATAAATTATGGTAGGTAGATACTAGATATAATATAAGCTGAAGAAAAGGTAAATTTATTATGAATGGATTTTTTTTTAATCTTAATTGTATTAATAATAAATAATAATCTATAAACATTTATAATAATCTATAAACATTTATAATTTTCCCCTAGATTGAAAATTTGAGAATATAGAGATCGTTTCCTCAAAACTGATTTAATTACTAGTTATTTGTGATTCAGTTGTGAAAAATGCTCACACAAGACACATTTCTAAGCTTTCTAAAGTCATAGTCGACCTTAAATATTGTAATTATTTATATTATTTTCCGACTAATTGATAATAAATGATGTAAGCAATGTACATTTTTGATCTGTAATAATTGCTTTTGAAGTTTTAACAGAAGCTTATAATAATAATGAAAATATATTATAATTAAATACATTTATTAACACAATAAACATATTATGCCAATATAAATTTACCACACCCTAAATGGACTAAATCAGGGTAGATTTTCCTTCCACGCTTGTCTGTTGCTAAATATAGGATGTTAACAACCTAAACACGTATCCTGAAATGGCGCTAAAAAAAAATGCTTTCATAACTTAAAAATTGTACAAAATAATAATAAAAAAATCAGGTAATTTTAGGATGCCACTATGCAGTCTGCTGTAGGTACAGGTGTAAGTTACAAGTGGGTCACTGTAATATGGATGGTGTTACATTTGAATTCAATGATTTACAATCATTTTATACGAAAAACAATTCTGAGTGAAGGTCTGTCAGTATATAATATTACTTAATATATTGTATTATATTATTGTGACTAAAGTAATTTATTTTACTATTAGGCATTAGTACTATAATATGTTAAATTCATTTTTGCCAAAAAAAATGCATTTGAAAAGTCGTTGTGTGTATGCAATTTAATTATAGGTATAGGTACTCTAAAAGATTCAAGCACCCACAAATAATATTTTTGAATTACAACAAAATAACTTATGAAGAACCTTGAATTACATTTTCAAGTTTTTCGACTGAGCGAATTTTTCGATAGGGTATATGTTGCCTTGGGGCGCAAAATGTTCAAATACGGCCTTGGCAGGAGTACGGGATCTCAACGTTATTAATTATTACTGTCATAGTGTCATCATATTATTTTGCTCAGTTGGGTGCACGTGTTCGTGTTTTAGTATTATTTTTTCAATTTTTTGCTTGATTTTAGAGAAGTGATGAATAGGGTACTTACTACTTTTGATTTCAGATAAATAATTATTGAGATTGTGTTTATTTTATCAAAATTGTGTAAGCTTTCAAGTTTCAAATGATGTTTGTCAGCCGTGTAGATAAGAAGAACCTATTCCTAGTCGCTACGACATGGTTTTTTGAATGGCGTCGTTTCGGTCAAAGCGCTTTCACTCATTAGGTGGCATACCATATAATATTGTGGCGAAGCGTAGACATATAAACATATATTTATTTATATGGCTATGTGGCCAAGTGTCCACTTTGCCTGACAATAATACCATTTTTCTATTCACTGTATTTAATAAATTGTTTAAACCATTTTGATAAAAAAAGGTATAAAAAAACACACATTGTAAAATCAATACATTCATCACTGCTCAGAATCAAAAAATTTATAACTGCATGTTTATTAAGGTATTAGGTAGGTACCTAAACAGCTAATAGCATATCATACTATAGCTACTTCAAATGTCATCAATATATCATAATATACAACTATAGCTATATAGGTATTAGGTACTATGTGGGTAGGTACCTACTTGCAGTATTACCATACACACCCATTTATAATTGTATGCATAAATAATATGTTTGTAACTTACGACTTGACATTCATCGAGTACGTCATGGCCATTTGTATAAAACTGGTTTTGATTAGTATACCTACATAGTATGAAAACAACATTTGAACATTAGACCTTAGTGAGACCTATAAGACCTTACGTAGGTGATAGGTCCATCATACTGTTAGTTATAGTGTTCTGCAATACACTTCACAATATAACAATTAAAATGAATAAAACTAACTCACAGACAGTTTTTTTTAAACTTACTTTAATATTTTTATATTTGAACTATACAAATGGTAAGCAAAAATGGATTACATTTCATAAGATGTATTTTAATTATAAAATAGTGAATATTGCGTATTAATGTAGTAATTATGTTCATATAAATAGACAATATTATAACATAAAGTAGTTTTTTTAAATTCATAATTTATTACATATTTTTGTTTAAGGTTGTGACAGTAATAAAAAGCTGTACACTGAAATAGGATGTAAACCTATTTACAGCAATGACTCAAATTCTTGTCCAGTGGCATATGATTGTGGTAAATATTGGTGTTCAAAATCATGAAGTAAAATAAATATTATAATATTTAAATCTAACTTTTGTATAGAACAAGTGTTTGCTAGACCAACTAACAAGTGTTATCTTAATGGAAATGTTTACGAGCCAGTTGATAGTCTTTCTAAAACAGACTCAGCATTGAACCCATGCTTTGCTGCCTGCTTTTGCGATCAGAGGACATATGAAAAGTATGATTACATTTATATTATGTATTTAAGCACCTATTTAACTGTGTAGTATTTATTTAATTTAAAAAAGTTATAATTTTATCAGCCTTTTAAATACTTTCCTAAAAAACATTTTACATTTAAATGTTTCAAGTTTTTAACATAGGTAGTATAATTTAAATTTTAAATATTGTGTATGCCTACTAAATAGTAATAAGTAGCCAATAAGTATAACGTATACCTAATGGCTAACACCATTGGCTATAAATAATATTAAATAGTATTTAATATCAATACTAACAGTCATGTCAACTAGTAACTGCCATATAATATATAATATTATATTAAATACAAATTTAAAAAAATTGAGTGGTAGGGTTAAGAAGTATAGTTTACTCTATAGTCTGTTCTATTACCTACTACATTTACATTAACATTTTAAAAAAGTTTCTTTAAATAATATAGATACCTACCCAGTTAAAATTGTAATAACAGAATTCAATTGAATTAATAAACTTAAAAAATGCACTAAAATATAAAAATGTATAATACACATAAATCATCAAGTTGTGGTCAGAAAAAAACTATATTTTTAGCTAATTTAATTTGTTTAAAAAAATTTAACAATAATTAATACAGTTTTTGTAAATAACTAGGTTATGTGAACTGTGAGAAAAATATTGAAAAAAGTGATGAATTTACATAATAAAAAGACTTTAAAAATTCATAAATTAAAAAAAATAAGAAAAAAGGATTTAAAATTGAATTAATTGGTACTAAACTTAAACTCTGTGTTAAGAAAGCCATGTTCTGCAATAAGCTTAAAATAATAAAATCAATTTTATAGATGTTCTATAAAGTCACAGCCTTAGTAATAACCTAATAAGTAATAATAGATAAGTTTTTCATTTTCATCATCATATTACATTCATGATGAAAATATATTTAAATTTTAAAGGTTATTTTTTACTTTTTAAAAACTGATATGAATGTTAAAACTAATTAAAATGTGTTTACAGTAAGACTACAACTAAATTTACATGTGCCAAGGTTGAATGTCCATCATATTTCACAAGATTAAGAGATCCATGTTATTATCAATATGACAAAGATTCATGCTGTGAGGTTAAAAAATACTGTCGTAAGTTAAGATGACCAAATGCTTAAAACTGTCTTAGAGTAACAATAACTTAAGTATCATTGCTTGATACTTGATAGTCATACAATGCATTATTTTTGTAGTTTCTTAATACATTAAATAAACTATTTAAATATTATAATAATTTAAGTAAAATAGAATTAATAATTTTTAATAATTTGATTTTTAGCCGAAGAAAAGGCAATTGGTCATGAATGTGTACATGACAATCAGGTTTACAAAAATGGTCAACGATTTTATGTTGGTGATTATTTACAATGTGTATGCTCACCGGAATTTAATGGTAAAATACATTTTTTTTTTTATTAGATAAAATAGAATATTTACAATCTGTAATATTTATATACATACATTAAGTAAATTTGATAATAATAAAGGAACAACATGAATGGCTTGAGGAGGGAGGCCCAGCAGTGTGGATACCCTCTAGCTTGGGGGAGAATTTTATTTTTTTAATTAGTGCAGTTCGGGATTCAGGAGATCACGACACCAGTGTCTTTTTAGTCGACGTGGGGGGTTATTAGGCATGAAGTCACTGGCCAAGTTGGAAATCAATGGATTTGTGTGGTTAGCTGTTTTGGTGTTTAAATTGTTGTAGTAGTTTTTGGCTGTTTTAGAGACTGTTTCAATTTTAAGATCCTTATGTGGTGAGAGGTTTGAGATGTACCATGGTGCAGATGTTATTAGGTGATAGGAAATAGACTGGAAGGCTTGTATAGTCCGTACTTGGGAAAGCTTGGCACATCCCCAAATTTGGATGCTGTAGGCCTAGATAGGTTTTAGCGTTGATTTGTATATTAATAATTTGTTGTCAATAGAGAGTTTTCGACTTGAAGATCGGCCGTAAAAGGTGAAGTCTGGTGTTAAGAGTCTTTCTTTTAACTTTGAGGTGTGGGCCCCAAGTTAGAGTAGTTAGACGCTTGTCTAAAATTAGACCTGAGTATTTGGTTTGAGATGTGGTTTGGATTGGATTGTTTTGAAAATAGATTGTAGGAAGAACAGCTTTTCTTAAAGTAAAAGGAATGTGGAAGGAATGTGTTTTCGGAGCTGGGAATGTCAGCTGTGTAAATGTTGTAGAGGTCTGGTGATAAATCACTTCCTTGAGGTACTCCTGCTAAGATTTGGAATTGTGATGAGAGGGAGTCTCCTTGGCGGGCGAGAAATGAGTGGTTTTGTAGATATGATTTGGTCAACAAGGAGTCGGGAGGAAGATTTTTAGCTTAAAGAGTAGTCCGGTGTGCCAGACACGGTTGAACGCTTGTGATACGTGTAATAATGCTCCCGGGCAAAAGTTTTTGATCTCAAACGACGAGGCTATTTTGTTGACAATTCGATGGATCTGGTGGGTTGTGGAGTGGTTTTCTCTGAAATTGGGTTTTTGGTATAATTTTGTGAGACTTGAAAATGGGTCTAATTTGTTGAAGCCTCACTTTTTCAAATAATTTCCCTAATACTTGTAAAAGGCTAATTGGTCTGTAATTTGAGGGTTCATTTTTTTGGTTTGAAACATTGATACATATGATATAAATGTTTTGTATATTATAGTTGAATTTATATTTAAAAAATCAATTGATTTTAATTTGCAAATTTTTGAATTTAAAATTAAAAAGGTCAAGACATCAGAAGAATAATTATTGTATAATTTGGGTTCCTGCTTCTGCTATGTGAAGAGTTATTACCTCATATAAATGTATGTCCTATGAATGTAAAACCTCGGTTAATTTAAAGCACTGTCTGCTCCTCGATACAATTAAAATAAAATTTATAAATAATTGAATAGTATTATAGTAATGTAGGTAACTAATGGATTTACTGTATTAATTCCACTTAGGTACAGTTAGTGATAAGTCATGTAGAGAAGTTGGTTGTAGTTATGAGATTTTATACATGGAAAACATTTTAACACGAAGTGCTCCTGTTTATTTCGAAAAAGTAGACGGATGCCCTATTGAATGGTTCAATCGTAAGTTTGTCAATTGTTTCTATAATTCATAATTTATTTGAATTACAAAATACTATTTTTGTTATAAACTTGTACTTTTTAGCTGAATACAATGCTGCAACTGCTGATGAAATAACTTCTACCAGCAAGTCTAATGGCCACAAATGCAAATATGGGGATTTGAGTTTCTCAGTAGGTCAAAATATAACTATTGGCCAACAATCTGACTCTGATACATACAAAACAACATGTTCTTGTAATACCCCTCCTTTAGTTACTTGCATCAAAGTCAGAAAATAGAGCATTTAATAATAGGTAGAAATATTATAGTAGGTACTTAGGTAAATAACTATTTTAAAAGATCACTCAAATATATTAAATGTAATAAACTAAGTAAGGTATGCAAGTATATTATATAGTATCAGATATTGTGAACCATTTGTGTAGGTTTGTGTAGACGTGTCAGCGTGTTACGTATAATTATACAATTTAATAAAACTATTTTATTACAAATATTTGCCTTCTTCTTTTAGTTCACCCTTTGCTTCCAAATTCCCAACTATGTGGGGTCAGATAACCTCCCAAATATTCATAAGGCTTTCAGGCCCTGCCCCTTCCCCTACTAACTACAACTATTTCCGTGTCATTCTTTAATCTGTTTATCCACCTTTTCTTCCTCTCCATCTCTCCTTCTACTTTTATTTCCAAAGCCACAAGCCTCCAAGTCACCTCTCCTCATAACATGATCGAACTATCTCAATCTCAACATATGAGCATACCTATTGTCTACAATTGGTGTTATTTCTATTCTACCCTAGAGCAAAACAATTTTTTATTCAAACCCCAGTATAGTTAATCCACACATTCTCATCACAACCACAATCGCAACTCACCTTCTCAGGGGCGTATTTAGAAATATTTACGAGGAAAGGGGAGGCAACATTCTGATCCATACACAGCATAAATACACGATTGACGTTAACACGGTTTTATTAAATCTACCTTTAGTTAGGAACAAATATTTGTATATTAGTTAAAAATATAATATTATAATATGTGTGTGATTAGTAAAATTATAGGTATGTGATAAAATAATTGTATTGAATAAAACAAATTATTGGTAAGTAATTATATCACCTAAACTAGGAATAGGTATTTTTATTGTAATTTTTTATTTTTACTTTTTAGTTAGTTGATAACTTTTACAATCAGTGAAGTCATAAAGATACACAGCAAAGTTATATTGCACAAAATCAACATTATTAGGTATTTTCTTACTTAAACCATCTATAAATAATTTATAATGATTGGTTATTGTTTTGCTTGTTAGTTCTTAACTTAGTTTGTCAACATTCAATTTATTAAATAGTCTTGGGTGGGTTTTAAGTTTCCAAGAGCTTGTAATAAAAATTTGCTGTTTGATCATTTAGGTATGAGACAAATGGACACTTTGATTTTGAAATACACAAATGTATTAAGTTACATATTTAAGAATATATCAATGAACTTCAAAATTTAACCTAGCCAAAAAAAATCTAGTTACATCATTGTTCTTGACCCATTGCATAAGCAAGATAACTAAGAGTCGATTCTCGTGTGTGCTCAACAACTCAAATATCAGAAATTAAACTTTAAAGTTTAAATGTAATTTTCTTAAAAAAAACATAGAGAAAAATCAAAAGAAAATTATGGAGAAACAGTGATTTCTATGCAAAATCAATTTTTGACATAATCGAATTAGGTTTTTCTGGTGTTAGTCAAAACTGTGGATACATAAAATTTTTCTATAAATGATAAATTTTCAATTTTTGTTGATAAATAATTTTTAACTCTGTCAAAAAACTTGGAAATGTATTATAAGGTTCCTCATAAGTTATTTTTGAACAGCTGTAAATTAATAATTTTCTTATTTTGTTCAAATTCAAAAACCAATAACCAATAACTGTACATACTTAATTTTTTTACTAAATGTTAATTTTATTCTTTTCTATACATAACACTATTTTCAAAATATTTTAACCGTTTTTGACTTAAACATAGTCATTTTGATTTCTCAATTTCTTTCTTTATATTTTTTCTATTAAAATCGATATAGCTTCTTTTGATGCGTCAAAAAGTATGAACATTTAATAGAACTGTCGGTGGCACAATTTTATTTTTTAAATATTTTATGTTCAAATTTGGAGAAAATTCAATTTGCAAATTATTTTATAGTTAAAAATGTATAAAATGTTTAGTTGTATAGTTGATTGAAAATTTCAAACTAGGTTTCTCATGAGTATTACATACTGTAACCAAAAAATCTAAAAACACAGTTTTCTTTAATAGATATATTGAGTTCAAATTTAGATGAAATTAGATATCGAAACAAAGAATAACAATTTTAGTTATTTTGTTGTAATTTAAAAATACTATTCTTGGGTATTTGAAACTTTTAAAGTATATTTTATTTTATACACAAAATAACATTTTAAACCTACTGTACTTATTACTAACAGTCATATAAATAATAAATTACTTTAGTAGCCACAATATCATAAAATATACTTAATAAAAAGGCTGAGTGTAATTCACAGACAGTTTTCTCTCAGAATTGTTTTTTTGTATGCAAAGATTTTATATCATCAAATCAAATTTAACAACCATTCAAGTGACTTCTCTATCGTACTGCTCTCTTTTATATCCATAATACTCTAAATTATAAAATATGTTTAATTTTATGAGAATTGGGTAAGAGGAAAATATTTAGTAACTCCTATCTGTAAATTCCTGGATATGCCACTTAATTTATTACTTAACTAAAATATGAAATATTTTTAGTAATCATAGAAAAATCTTTATTTATACTTGACACAATTTCTACAAATACACTTTGTTTAGAGGTCAAATTTGAATAAAATAACAAATAAAGCACTCTTAATTAATTCTTTATTTTATATTTTTTTCATAATTAATTAAGTAATGCTGAAATACACATGAACACATACAAGAAGATATGGGAAATATATTATATTTATTATTGAAGAATGCAATAGCAAATGTTCAGTAAAGCAGTTAAAAGTGTTATGCTATTGTAACTAAATAAGTAAGTGTGTATTAAATCTAATAAGGAACCCTACTTGTGAAATATTGCACTAAATAATAAAAATACAAACAAATTTATACAGAGTGTTGACATATTATAATACCTAAACACACCTGTAAATAAGTGCATAAATAAATTGCACATTGTTTCAATAATTTTACTTGAGCCTCTGAGTTACACTCGCAAGTGCAACTGCAAACGCTTGGACGGCAGAAAATGGGTGTTGAAAGTCTAGAGCAAAATTATTGCGGTCAATGCGTCCAAACTGCATCACTTGTATTCCATCATATTCAACTTGAAAATTTTTTGCCGATTCTTGAGTAACACGACCTCCAAAGTCCAACTGGTAGACTTGAGTCAAATCGTTCCAAATGGGAGCTTTGTTTTGCATAACAAATTGCTGTCTTTTGGTGCACATTTCAATCTAAAATTTAAAGAAAATTAAAAATGCTATCCTTGTTTAAATTCAATTTAACCAGCATATCATGTAATTACTTTATTTTTTATTTGAGATTTTTGAAATGTTTCTAAATTTTGAAAATCCGGTTCAATTTGAGTTCTAAGAACTTTACGGAAAAATAACGGAGAATTCATTAATCGTTTCCTAGAAACAAACAGGGTAAAATATTATAATGATTAAAATTTAAAACACAAACATCAGTAATAACCATAAAATTATTCTACCTTATAGGTGATGATAAACCACTTTTCTTTTTAGCTGCAACTGGACTAGATGGTAAACTGTGAGCAAATGTCTCGGAAACTTTTGAGTCTTCAACCACTCTGGACACAGCAATTTTTGGATTGGATGATCCAACACTACAACTACGTCGCCTTTGAAGTTGTTTTGGTGTTGGAGAATCATCTTCTATCGATTGCCCATCCCCAACAATAGATAGTGTCATTTGACGAGGTTGTAAATGTAAAATGGATGTGCGGTATGATACTCTCCCTAATTTTTGAGTCAAATCATCGCAAAGCCCACGAATATGGAATTCTGTACCCCAAACATTCGCTGTAACTTCTGCCAAACGATAGTCCTACACGATAATAAAAATAATAATAAAATAATTATAATATATTGCAACACTTTTTAGTTTTTATATTAATGGTTTTATTTAAGTACTTCTGGTAACACATCAGTGTAACAATTTAATTGCAATTTTCGATTACAACATGCAGGTCTTGATCTGTGTCTATTTTTTCGATGGAGCTTGGGGCTAGAGCAAGATTCAGGTTCAGAGTCATCCCAACCAAAATTACTATAAGTTATCTGTGCATTAGCATATGTTGTATCTATACAAATAAAAGCACAACGTTAACATTAAGCGCATATTTAAATTTTATATTAATAATACCAGTATTATATTATTTATAATATATTAATCACAATAATGAATGCATATAGAAATCATTATTGATGAAATAATCAATTAACAAATATTAAATTAGCTAATGAACATTTTAGTAATGTATGTTGTATTTACCATCTACTTGTGGATCAAAAATGACAAATTCTGGTCTTAGCATACTGATTCGTTTGCCTTTCAGTAATGGTACAAGACCTCCAAGGTATTCCATGTATAGTACATAACAGACTGGTGGTGTGGTTTCTGGCCCGTTGACATGTTGTACAACTGTACAATATAGACGATTTTTTGGGGAGCTACTAACAAACTGACGCAGTTCTGACAACTTGGGCACTTCGCACTAAACAATATTTTTTATATATTTAGATTTATTATATTACAATATTAATGTACTATACAACTAAAAGTTGTAGTTAATTACTAAATTGTTTGTTTACTCATAATAATTATTATAATATTGGTAATTTGCTCACATAAATAGTAGATGATGAAATAGCAGTCAAAATTTCTTGAATACTAATAGGAAGTATGTCATCTGACGGGAACAATGATTCATCACACATTCGCAAAGCACAAAGCACATATAAAGGAACAACCGAAGCAGACACACATGCAACATGTATTTCTGGCCCTGTTGCTATAAAAATCCTTCTGTCATTGTGTGCCCAAGTTACAGCTGTTACTACTGCCTATAATTGTAAGAATTATATTTTATAAAACTATTTTGTACATAGATGATAATAATAGTATTAAAAATGGAAACTTGCCGAAGATTGAGGCATGTTAATGGAATAAACTAATTGACCAGTGGCAGAATAAATTTGCACAACATTAGCACTTAGTCTTCCAGGCCTTGAACCAGCAACACAAAGTAACTCTTTAGCATTAGACCATTCCATATAAATAGGACATAAACCTGTGCGTATTAATACTGGGGCAGGATCATCAAATCGTCTCATCAACTGAATAGTACCATTTTTGCAACAAAGTGCTAATACATGTTTAAACATATCTAAATAAAATATTACATCCAAATATTAAAAAAATAGTACTTTTACTATTTTATATAATACATTTTACTCAATATACTCACGATCTGACTTTATTTTGTTTTCATTCATGCAAAACTTTTCACAAGACCAAGACATAGACGATATTCCAGAATCATCTGACAAGTTGACTTGAGATACTGGAGCTCCGTGAATATCCAAAACTTTCATCTGCCCTCTGCTAGTTCCAAAATATACCTTAGTGCAAAATTATATAAGTATTAATATTTAATAAACATTAAAATTTATTAACAACAACAAAAAAAGTACTTGTTGATCATCGGGGGACCAAGCACCACATGTAACTGTTCCCTCAGGATGTAACATAGAAGACCAGTACCTATGACCAGTAACTGAACCAACCAAAACAAACCCATCCTAAACAAGAAAAAAATATACATAATTATTTAACAGAAAATATTTAATAATAATACCATTATTTATATAATACTAACTTGGTAGCATATTAGTGCCAATCTACCATCATGAGACCAACTAAAATAAGTAACTCTAGTATTCCGATCATTGATAAGTTCAACATTCCAACGACAATCAAACTTAGCCCAAACATTTATAACACCAGAACTATCACATGATGCCAATTTTTGGTATGGTTCGTTCCATTTCACAAGTACAACCTTTTAATAAAAATATTCACAAAAAATATAGTTATCAAAAACAAACAAACATTTAGAAAATAGCAAAAAAATGTCATCTTTCTTGATTAATAAAAATTGTTAATAACTAGGAGGTAAAATCCATATACTATAAAATATAAACTTTAAACTTTTCAATCAACAGTTTCTAAAGAGGAATATTATGTATTAAGTGACTATAGCTAATTTAAACTATCACAATATACTTCCATGTTTCATCAATAGTGACTCATGGAACTTTTTTTATATAGTTTAAAGATAAATTGAAACAGTAAAATTTGGTTTAGTGGGTCACTTTGTTAACTTCATAAAAAATGTATTGAAGTAATGTTTTTTAAACCTTACAAATAATTACTGTTACATTATTCCCCATTCAATATACATTTTTGAGGATTAGTAAATTAAAATAATTAAAATCAAGAAAGTGATATATTTAAATTGCATATTAAAACTGTTTATACTTACCAATAATCAAATGAGAAAACCCAAATCAATAATAATAAAAAAAGTGCAGTATTCAAATGCAATATAAAATTGCTGTATAACTAAAAATAAATAAATAAATAAAATAAAATGTAAAAATAACTAAATTGTTTATAAATTTTAAAATAATAAATGATTTATTCAAACAAAATAATAAAAAATATTGCATCGCATTTGAAAAAAAAAATAATAATAAATGTAATTAAGGAAAAAGATACGCATCATGATACCTTGGCATGATGATTTCTCAAGTTGTAATTAGTGCGAAGCGGTAATCTTTCACTGTTTGGTCCACTATTTGTTGGTATAGAAGTAAATGTAACACCAACAACTCCTTGAGAATTGCCTGTAGCCAACCATCCTTGTTTATAGTAATTATGCCCATCCAAGTTCCATCCTTCAGCCTAAAATTATACGTAGTAGACATTTTAACTTAAAGCTTATTAACTTTAAATATAATATAATAATAATATTTTAATCATCAGTTTCCCAATATCAAATAAAATATTATAAAGTTTAGATGTTCTGTGTATAATTTCTTTAAGCTCTCTTTTAGCCCACAATTTGTAAAACCAAAAAAACATACAAGGAAAGTGTTAGACCCCAAAATTCTTTGTACGCCCTGGGCCCTGCAAGTCCTGAGGACAGCTCAGTCTCCTCAATCGAATAAGAATATAAAATAAAATATATAAAATATTCAAGTAAGTACAAGGTGTACAATACTCCTATATTCTGTATACATAATCTGATAAGACAAGAAAGAAAAACAGAAATCAGGAATTATTAGTTTAATTTGGATGTTAAAGCCATACCGTTTTCAAATTAATTAGTTTTTTGAATAAACTCACTATGGCTAAATATACATTATATATCACTAACTTCAATGACAGCAAGCTGGAAATAGAAACAATATTCTATGTATTGCATCAACATTATTATAAAATAGGTAAACAACGCTCAATTAAGCATTAAAATATTAAATAAGCATTAAGGTGGAGTCTGAAGTATGATTGTCTTATAGACTTATAGTAACTCTATGATAAATTTCTTCTTTCCCAGTAAGTTCTTGTAGCCACAGGATTTAAAAATCTATGTATAATTTCAATACTTTGGGTTAAATAACTTCTTTTACGAGGGTTTACGGGCTGAGCTTTCATTCTGAGTAAAATAATATTACACTATTTGTGATAAATGTACTTTAAAATCTACAAATCTCTTCCAGGAATTATAAAATTATTTTAATAATTAGCAAAAAGTCCTACTGTCCTACCGATTGCAATTGTGAAATAATCAGTAGGATCATTAAATGACATGAATTCTACAAAACTATATTTGTTTCATCAATTTGGTTCAGGTTTTACTTATTTTCTAAACAATAATAATAGTAAGAATAATAATAACAATATCAGTATTTTGGCAATCAAATTATTTTGTTACCAAACATAAAGACCAAGAAAAAAATGTCATTAATGTTGATTTAAAAATCAATACACAGCTTCGAGAAAAAAACTACAACCAATAATTTAAAACATACTTCTACATTATCTGGAACTCTTCCCATCCAGGACAATGACAATATGTCACTGTCACATTTTGTATTGGCTTTCTTCTCAAACCTGATGTGCATTGTAGTATATAAATTCAGATACCCAGAAATATCATCATTTTAGTGAAAGTAGTGCACGGTGGTTGAAACACGAAATTCGTTTAATTATTAACAAAAACGTACGAACTCTACAGTCTACACGATTACTATTTACTAGAATACCAGTGCTCGGAAAAAACTAAAAAGGTAATTCATAAAGTTATTGATTATAGATAAGACCAAAAGTACATAGTTTGTAAGGTAAGTTTGTGATAATAATATTACAAGGCAAGGTGAATATAAATTCACCTTGGTTTAAGAACTTTAAGGTAGTCATAAACCGCGGGACGGGTTATATTAGTTTTTGAGGTTATCGTATTTATTCAAAAATCAAAATTCAAAATATTGTTTAAAATTTTCATTTTTAATCAAAGGTACTTTAAACTTGTGGGGACACGGGTTGCGTACATATTCCACATCCGGGACATCCCGTCAATCATCATTAGCCTATGCAAACATCTAAGTGACAACTGTTTATGGCAAAAGTACGTTTTTACTATTTTTTGTTGTTGACATTTTCACCTTCCACTGATAATAATATGTACCTCCTATTTCAGAATTTTGATGTAATCAACTGATGAATAAGTAATAACAGTCAACGGATACCTACTACTGACTAGTACTGAGTGCTGAGATTTTTAGTGTCATCATTTTAATTAATTAAACCCTAGTGAGATGTTGCATCGCATCTGTCAAGCTGGTTTGAAGAAGCAGCTTATGGTCGATCGTCGACTTGTGCGATGTGCTAGTGTGATAATTTCAAACAATGATAGATCAGCATTGGTTCAGAAGAACCATGCATCTAATCGTCTTTGTGTTGTTTCCTCTATTAATGTTCCAGTACGTTATAGAAGGTTTGACAATAAAAAAGACGATGATAATCCAGAAGAAGTGGAAGAATCTCAAACTGTAAGAGCTGTATATGACATTAAGTCCAATCAAGATACTTCAATTGCAACTATTCAAGTACCAGATGAACTGCCTTTCCTACCGTTAGTCACAATAGCAAAACCGCCGTTATATCCTAGATTATTTAGAATTGTTGAGGTTAGTATTTAATATAATATCTATAGAAAATATTTTAGAATATAATAGACATTTTCTTTCACAGATCAGTGATCCTAGATTAATTGCTTTGATCAAAAGAAAAAAAGCTTTAAATCAACCTTTTATTGGTCTTTTTATGAGAAAAAACATTGATACGTAAGTAATATTGTTGCATATTATTGGTTAATATAAAAGTAAATATGATTTTGTTAATTCGTGTATATAGTATACGTGTGTATATATTTTTAGAGTTCCAGATAATATTGTTACAAATATTGATGAAGTATACAGTGTTGGATCACTTGGTAGAATAAATGAAATGCGAGAATTTGGAAATAAATTACATATGCTCATACAATGTTTTAGGCGTATTAAGCTGACCAAGCCACTTTTTGAAGACCAAGATATTGATAAAAGTAATGTTTATGATAATTATTGTACGAATATAAAAATGCATCGCTCAAATAATAACTTTCAACGAATTATCAATTTGACACATAAAAACAAATTACTATTAAACAAAAGATAATTTTTCAATTAAATTAACTCCATATTATATAAACAATTAAAATTAAAATGTATATCTAAAAATGAAACATGATAATATTATAATATACTGTGAATCCTCAGACTGGTTAATATTTTTGGAAGTTAGCTTGTTATAAATATGGAAATTAAAACTCAAGTCAATAATTATTTATGAAAATTGTGACAACAGGGAGCCAGGGAAGTACTACTATTCATGTAATTTGGTTTAACACGAACCTATTGACCATTTTATTGCAAAAATCGGACCAGTATTAAATTATAAATCATTGATTCCTTTTAATCTGTTATCAATAATTATTAAAATATTGTGTTAAACATTTTTAGTCACAAATGATTTGACCAAGCGTAATAAAAAACAATCTCGTAATAAGGGATCTTCAAGCACTCCTGAAATAGAGCCAATTTCAGAAACAGAAAAAACTCAAGAACAAGTGCTTATGATTGAAGTAGAAAATCTAAAAGATGAACCTTATGATAAAACAATGGAAATTAAAGTATGTCTATAGTATTTACTATTTTTATATCAAATTAATTGCATTAGTTTGTTATTTTTCTTAGGCATTATCTCAAGAAATAATTAAAACTATTCAATCAGTTATTAGCATAAATCCCATATATAAAGAAATATTACATCCTATGTTGCAACATGGCAATGTATCAGATGATCCTTCATATTTGTCTGATATCGCAGCTGCAATAGCTGATTGTGAGACTCATGAATATCAAGAAATTTTAGAAGAAATTAATGTACGTACTTCACATTTCAATAAAATTAATAATTACAGTGAATTCTGTGCATAACAGATCGTTACTAAACCATAAAAAATAACCATTGTAGACAGGCAATATTTAATACAACATAACAATAATATTTAATAATATTTATTATAGTTTTAGTCAAACTCATATGTAACTCTTTAATAAAAATATTGTACTTTTATGAAAAAAAATGTGTTAATATTAGATGTAGAAACACACGAGTAGGTTCTAGTGTATGACTGTACTAGATACTTAGTTTAGAACAGTGAGTTATATTATATTTCTAAGTTCCATACTCTATAGTCTATTTTATGAGAGTATGAAAGAATAATCAGTCCACAGACCAATGCTCGTCAGTGCAGCTCATCTCCTACCAACTTCCCGGGGATGAGTGATCACATGGTTCTCTACGCCCCAATCTAAAAGTAAATTCTCTGGTAGGATAGCTTATAGCATCTATGGATAACTGCCTGTATTTAGTATCTACTATTACATATAATCTCTAAAGTATATTTAGTCCAAATTTGGCAATTTCCTCGGTTTGATATTAGTATTAATTTTTTCTATACAATTTTCAATACCATCAAGTTTTTCACTTGTTTTTATTAATGTTGAATGTCATTCAAATTTTATTCAGTATTAACTATCATAATTAAATAAACTTTTAAATTGAAGTTTAATAAGTTATTATTTTTACATTATAATATTATAGTATTCAGTACTATTGGAATTGTGTAATTGATGTTCTATGCATTTTAAAAATTCATTTTAGGTTCCGAAACGTCTTTTACTTGCACTTGGTTGTGTAAAAAAACTTTTAGAACTTAGTGAAATTCAAATAAAAATTAGTAAAGAAGTCGATGAAAAAGTTAAACAACAGCATCGTAAATTCATTCTTCAAGAACAACTGAAAGTAATAAAAAAAGAGCTTGGCCTTGAGAAAGATGATAAAGATTCGATTGTGGAAAAGTTCAGAGACAGAATTAAAGTATGTTTTTTTTTTCTAATAATTGTATTTAGTATGATGTGTTAATTTATTACTTAGCATAGACGTATAGTATTGAATAAATTTACCAAGATTAAATTGAATCAAACATTTAAAAAGGAAAAATTAATGTGATGCTTTTGTATTTCAATTTTTTTTTTATTATTCAAAGGAGAAACAAGTACCAATTAAAGTTATGGAAGTTATTGAAGAAGAATTAACTAAACTATCATTTCTGGAACAACATTCATCAGAATTTAAGTAAGTGATTGTTTTATATTTAATATGAACTATATTTTTGTTAAACATTATATAGTTAGTTATTTAAGACTAAAAGTTAAATTGTGAAGTTCATTATAAATCTGAATTTTTAATTATATTTTTTAGTGTTACGAGAAATTACCTTGATTGGCTAACACAATTACCATGGGGTACAACAAGTGATGAGAATTTTGATTTAAAAAGGGCATCAACTATTTTAGACGAAGATCATTATGGGATGGAAGAGGTAAAAAAACGAATTCTAGAGTTCATTGCAGTAAGCAAATTAAAAGGTTCAACTCATGGAAAAATTCTTTGTTTCCATGGACCACCAGGTGTTGGAAAAACAAGTATAGCAAAATCAATTGCAAGAGCCTTAAATCGAGAAGTAATTAATTTTAAATAGTAACAGCTTTTTTATTCATAATCCAAAATAATATATTTTTTATTATTTAGTACTTTAGATTTAGTGTTGGTGGTATGACTGATGTGGCTGAGATAAAAGGTCATCGTCGGACATATGTAGGTGCCATGCCGGGTAAAATGATTCAATGTCTGAAAAAAACTTCAACTGAAAATCCATTAGTATTAATTGATGAAGTTGATAAAATTGGGAGGTAGTAAAGCTACAAAATCATTATGTTAGTGTTAAAATTTAATTTTAATTTTGTTTTTTAGGGGACATCAGGGTGATCCTTCATCTGCGCTATTAGAAATGCTCGATCCCGAACAAAATGCTAATTTCTTAGATCATTATTTGGATGTGTCAGTGGACTTATCAAAAGTACTATTTATTTGTACTGCCAATGTAATCAACACAATTCCAGAACCACTTCGGGATCGTATGGAACTTATAGACGTGTCTGGATATGTAGCAGAAGAAAAAATGGCTATTGCCAAACAATACTTAATTCCTCAAGGGCTTAAGTCTACTGGCCTGAAAAAAGAACAAGTAAAGTATATTTATAATAAAGTTATTTATACACAAACTATAATAATATGTATTTATAGATAGAAATTGCTGATGATAGTCTATCTACTCTTATTAAATCATATTGTCGTGAAAGTGGTGTACGTAACCTTCAAAAACATGTTGAAAAGGTATTTTTTCTATATTATAAGTTTCTAATAACTGCTATTTCTTTTAAATCAATAAGTCTTTCATTTTTTTTTATTCATTTATATGTATTTAATAGATGTTAAGAAAAGTTGCATTGAAAATAGTTGAAGGTGAATCAGAAAAAATAACTATTAGCAGTGATAAATTATATGACTTTGTTGGAAATCCAGTATTTACAAAAAATCGAATGTATGAAGATCCAATACCTGGAGTTGTAATGGGATTGGCTTGGACTGCCATGGGTAAGTTAGAAAGACTTTTCTGTTAGTTATATTATAGTATAATAATACATTTTTATTCAGGTGGCGCTTTAATGTATATTGAAACCGAGTGGACTAAAGATCCAGCGACAATTACGGACAAGGATAAAGCTGTCGGAAACATTATATTAACGGGTCGCTTAGGCGAAACCATGCAAGAATCAGCAAAAACTGCATACACTGTGGCAAAACGATTTTTAAGTGAACTTGATCCACAAAACTTATCACTGTTGACCGGAAACGTACATCTGCATGTTCCTGAAGTAAATATTCCTTATGTTTTAGAAAATAGATCAAACAGATTGATTATATAACAACATTAAATAAAGTGACTACTAGAGTACTAGAACTACAATTATTGTTAGTTGTACTACTATAAATTTAAATATTAACTTTAAAAAAATTGTTTTTACTCACTACCATTTTATTTTATTGATTTTCTAAGAACTGGGTTTACTCAGTTTAGTAACTTTTATTATAATAATTAGTTTAATCATTTTTTATTGTAATTAATATTAATGTAGGGTGCTACTCCTAAAGATGGACCCAGTGCTGGATGTACAATTGTTACTGCTTTGTTATCATTGGCTTTAAACATTCCTATTCGGAACAATGTAGCTATGACTGGAGAAATCTCTCTCAAGGGAAAAGTTATGCCAGTAGGAGGTATTAAAGAAAAAACAATTGCTGTAAGTAATTAATAAATTATTAAACCTTGTGTAAGATGTGAAATAATTTTTTTCATTTTAGGCTAAAAGAGAAAATGTTAATTGTTTGATACTGCCTGAAGAAAATAAAAAAGACTTTAATGAACTTCCAAAGTTTATAACTGACGGGATTGAAGTGCATTTTGTTTCATACTATAAAGATATTTTTAAAATAGTCTTTGAAAACAAATAATACTATTCCTATTTTTTAAGTTTGTTAATTTAAAATTAAATCATTGTTATATCAATATATATATATTTGTAAATAGAATAGATGTTAGTATTTTTTGAATAAAATGATGTAAAATTGTTATTTTATCTTTTGACACCAAAATCATAATTAATTATTTGATTAAAATAACTATTTTTCAGGAAATATTGACTATATTGTTTTTACTCAATTCTTTTAGAGCTCAGGACTGAACAGATAAATCTATTAATCCATGTTCCTGGATGTAACTTGGCTTAAATAAAATATGGCTATTGCCTATTTCTCAATGTGTGCTCTACCAATTAACTGTGGTCCACCTCCACAAAAATAAAATTAAAGTTTGAGGTCTACTATACAAATTTTATTAAATTTGTTGGCATAACATGAAATAAATAAAAATATTATGATTTTAAGGATTGGAAAATATAAATATTTATATAATTGGTAATAACTAATTTCTACTAAATAACTGTAGATTCTTCAGTTAAAAGTAAACTATTAAATTAATTTACCAACATTTTAAAAGGTTGATATTTAATTTATAGTCTATTCAGAGTACCTTGTTATCATACACTAGCTGAACTAATGTTATCTATATATAATACCATTGATTTTACGATATTAACACTGGGAGATTTATAGAATTGGTGGTAAATTACCATAATACTATAGCTTTAGAAGAATGCAAAACATCTCGAGCAACTTAAAAATAGGTGGGTGCGTTTTTATTTATTTAAAGACTTAAAGTTCTAGTTCAAGGAATATACAATATACATATTTTCCAAATATATTAAGACTAGAAGTAGGTAATGAAGGTATGAGGTAATGAAAATAGATCGGAAAAAAATGTACCTGGGACCCAGCCAAAAAAAAAATCAAAGTTTAAGTATTAGTATATTTATTTTTAATTTGGATAAATATAATAATATAATTATTATTAATTTGTCATTTTATATTTTCCTAACTAGATACGTCATTAACCCAAATTATAATGCTCCCAATACAAATATCCATCATAATTATAATTTATAAATTTATTGATTTTTCCATATTATCTGAGGTTTTATTAAAAACTATTTTTGGGAGTATATTAATCCTTAGTTTTTGTTTATTTATTGAATATAAGGTAATAATAATTTATAAATGTTTAATAATACCTACATTCTACATAGTATATGACAATTGCATGCATTACCTATAGATAATAAGGAAATCAAAAATTCGAAGGTCTTGTACTCTTAGACTTAAAAAAAAAATACATTGTTACCTATTAAGTATTTGAATATTCAATTTTCCATTTGCGTCAAGTAGAACTAAATAAATTCATATAGTTTTTAAAAACAATGCCAAATCATCCATCGGTTAGGCACCTAATAATTAAATAATAATCTACGGCAAATTACAATGAGATGGACAACGATTCAAATATTTATTCTCATAATCCGTTCGATTCTGGTTATTAAACTGTCTTCACAAATGTCATTAATCTCAATACATCCAGCAGATTGAACTTTTGGATCGGAGACGAGGACTCGTGCTGAGATGCACCAAAAAAGCATAACTGCTTCCTCAACACTTTGACTAGGGGTACGGGAGAATGCATTTTAAAAAATATGTCAATAAACTCGTGGACTAGTTTGTAAGGTGAAATTTGGCGTGTGACAAAACAACTGAAATAGAAAACCAAACTACATCGGTATTCGAAACGAATTAAAAAAACTCCCCCAACTTCCCGCTCAAAATATTCAAAATGACTTGTTGAATTTATCGCGAAACAGCTGAGTTGGAGTAATTATCACTGAATTGATTAAATTTCTTGTTGTGTTGATAAAATATTGCCGCCAAAATACCAAGGTCATTGCAATCATTTGTGGATTGCTATTCCTCATTATTTAGTCTAGTTCTCTGCACCATCGCCTTCACGTTACCACAGTAAATCGGTACTGAATTGTGAATACAACTATAGTTCTGTAGACATAGATCTAATTATTTCGTCTACACGTCTCAACGTTTGTAACTAGAGGATAATCTAGTTATATGATTTATTTCGTTTTCACATCAAATTTATTAAATAGTTCTAGTCTACATCGACGATCATGAAATTGGTGATCCCTGAGATTTCTTGGCACAATCGTGACCCAGTGCTTAGCGTTCATTTTCAACCCATTGCCATAGACGGATTCTATCGACTAGCTACTGGTGGATCGGATTCTCATGTTTTTGTAATTAATTATATTTTTTGGAACTGCCGGTTTGTTTGTACTGATAACTATTTGTGTGTGTACAACAATATTTTAGATATGGCGAATCAAAGCAGATGGTTCTAATGTGACCGTTGAATTTGCAGCCGATCTGACAAAACATCAAAAAGCAGTAAATACTGTACGTTTTTCACCCAATGGACAATGGTTAGCCACTGGCGATGATGGTAAATTAATTGTTAAATGTTTTTTTATTTAGAAAATTTAACTTTTTTCTTTCAGAGTCTGTTATTGTCTTGTGGAAATTCAAACCTGAAAATGGTCCTGATCAAAGACCTGATATATTAGAAGACGACGAATCAAAAAATCTTGAAAAGTGGGCTTGTCATTGTGTGTTAAGAGGCCATCTAGAAGACGTTTACGATATATCTTGGTCTCCAGATTCTAAACAACTTATATCTGGTGGTGTTGATAATAAAGCAATTATTTGGGATGTTAACAATGGTAATTACATTTAGTTTTTATAAATTAGTTGAACTTTAATCAAAATTAATATTAATAGGACGCTATAAAGCAATACTTGATGATCATAAAGGTTTTGTACAAGGAGTTGCTTGGGACCCCTTGAATGTGTATGCTGCTACACTAAGTAGTGACAGGTAAATAGGAGATACATATTATTAAAATATTCTATTTCTATATTAATTTGTTCTTAATTACAATTTATTTGTAGAACTCTAAGAGTGTTTAATACAAAAAATTGTAAATTATTCAATAAATGTGATAAGTGTGTTCCTTTGGGGAAAAAAAGCGATGGTGAAGAAATAAAAATTAGACTATTCCACGATGATACACTGAAATCTTTTTTCCGACGCATTTCATTTTCACCTGATGGTCAAATTCTTGTAACTTCATCTGGTATCATGGAGATAATCGATGAGGAAAATAAAAATAAAAACACCACTAACGTTAGCTATGTATTTGCCAGAAAATCATTTACCAAGCCTGTACTATACGTACCATCTCTTGACCAATATTCAGTTGCTGTTCAGTTTTCACCAGTTTTTTATGAACTTAAAGAAGAGACAAAATCAATATTTGATTTACCATACCGAATGATATATGCTATAGCAACCAATTCAAGTATTTTATTGATGGATACCCAACATGCAGCTCCATTTGCTTACATTGGTGATATACATTATACTCGTTTGACGGACCTCTCTTGGTAAGAACATAATTTTAAAAGTATTTGAAACGTATATTTCATAAATTTATAATTTATATTATACATTATACAATTTTATGTTTATCAGGTCTTCTGACGGACAGTTACTTATAGTGTCTTCGTCAGATGGATTTTGTTCAATAATAAGCTTTACAAAAGAAGAATTGGGTGTAGTATACAAGGATAACACAAAAGTCGAGCCAATGGAAATAGTAGAGTCGATCGTCCAAGAAGATAGTGATGATAAAGAACTTCCGATTTTAATTGCCCCATTGCAAATGGAACAAAAAGAAGAAGAAAAACAAATTGTTGAGTGTTCTGAAGCTCCTACAAAGAAAAGAGTACAATTGGTCACACTTTCTAGTCCTAAAAACAATAAATATTTAAACAAATAACTGTGTGGTTACTTATTTTGTATTTTTTTTAATTTATTTTTTATTATTTATGTGAAATTAAACATTTTTTTTTTTACAAACATTAATCTTCATCGTCGTCAAATGTTATTTTCTTTCCTTCAAATTTGGCCAATGATTTTTGTTTACGTTTTGCTTCCCATGACGGATGTAATGTTGTATCAACACATTCCTCAACTTGTTGCTGCCTTCTTTCTCTTCGGTTGCCCATGTTATTTTGTTTACCAACAATTACCTTTTTGCCTTTACTGAAAAATTCTTTAACTGGTTTTTGATATTCTACTTTTGTATGTTCCTCAAGAACTCGTTCAGTTACTGGTGGTGGTTTGTATACCGACATGTAATCCTTATTGTCAACAGTCATGAAAAATGAATCAACTGTTTCACAAACAGGCTTAATTTCATTTGCAGTAATTCTTTTTTTTTTACTGTCAACTTTACTTGAAATACTTTGTTTGGCTTTTCTTTTTGATACATTTTTATCAATATTGTCAAGGATTTCATTAGTGGACGAATGTGAGCTTTTCTTTGGTAGTTGAGTGTTTAAAACATCTGTTTTTACTTGTGAGTTAAGTAAGCTTTTGTCTAATGTACTTGAGTATTCCTCTTTGTTTTTGACAAACATTTCTTTATTGTTGGAGATTTTCGAGTCTCTAGACACATTGTTTTGATGTTCATCATTACTTGAATTGTTTTCATGGGGCATTATTTTCTGCAAAAATAAACTGTCACTTTTTGAAGTATTTTTTGACTCAGACTGATCTTCAGGCTCAGACTGGGCACCATCAGACATTGACTGATCTTCAGACTCAGACTGAGCACCTCCAAAGACTGATTGATCCTCATGCTCAGACTGGGCATCTCCGGACACTGACTGATCTTCAGGCTCAGACTGGGCACCATCAGACACTGACTGATCTTCAGGCTCAGACTGAGCACCTTCAGACACTGAATGATCTTCAGGCTCAGACTGAACACCATCAGACACTGAATGATCTTCAGGCTCAGATTGAACACCGTCAGATTCGGACTGAGCATATTCAAATTCTCTCATGTTTTTAATTTTGTTATTATTCTTAGTGAGAATTTTAGTTTTAATCTCTGTCTTCACTGATTTGTTTTTAATGGGTTTCTTTTTTGCTCTATATTTAGCACCTAACTCATTTAATAAATCTGTTATGCATAGTTTCCAATCAGGATATTTGCTTCTAAATTTTTGAACTTCATCTGTAATAAACTTATGTCCTGCTAACCTTGCTAATGCCCTAGTTTCCAATGTTATGTCTATACTATTTAATATTGTAGCAGAAGGCACTTCATTTTGCAAGGCATATTTTGTAACATCGTCATCATTTAATTTCTATGAACAAAATTACTAATTTATTATCTATTTAAAAATGTGGGGTAAAATTACTATAACAAAACATTTTATACCTTTATCACCATCAGTTCACTAATAAAGCGTTCAGCTTTTTTTTTATTTTTGACAAGTTGTTCTTCGTTTCCTTTTTTTTCTTTCAACTTTTTTGCTTCCCGTGTTAATTTGTGTATAGTATGCACTTTTGATTTCCGCACAATATGACGCATGGTGACAATCTAAAAAAGTATTAACAATTAAAGTGAGTCAGATGTATTTCACATTGAATGTAGCAAAACCGGTAAAGTTTATCATTTTTTCCAACTAGTTAAAGTCAAGCAGTGGAGTGATGAAAAGGGAATTATTATGCCTCGGTGTCGTGATAAAAGAATCGGGTTGGTCAATGGTCGGTGTGTGAGTGGGTGAGTAATTATATTATGGTAAGTAATAGTATAACACAAAAATCACATTTAGTTTTAATAATTATATATTTTATACTATGTCTATATTTAGGGGGTTAAGGGTTAAGGGTGAATAATGGATATTTACTAGAATTTATGGTGTACATTATGGTTTAAAAATGTACACCATGACACTGAAATCAAGTTACCTTAACATAAAAACTTACCATGTTATAATATAAGTTAATTCTTAAAATTTCTTACTTTGTTAGAAGTTAAATTTTTTATATACTTTAAAATAGCTAAATGTTTTTGAAGCGTAAATTATTTTATGCATTGAAAATTCAACTCATTAAGTTAGAGAGTTATAAACATCAAGACCAACTAGCTAAGTTACAAATTTCCTTTAAAAGTAACTAAAATTGTGTAATAGGATGTATAACAATAGTGGCGGACTGAATTTAAATTTAACCTAACCACCACCCCTCCATTTTTACTTGTCACAAAGTTATGATATAAATGAAATGTGGCTGAAAGAGCTAAGAGGTGGAGCCTAAGCATGTAATTCTACTCTACAGTCATGGGTGGCATTACACCCTTTGAAAAATTGAAGCAGTTGTGTCAAAATTGAGCTCTTCAGCCCGCCACTGGATAATAATATAAAATTGGGTTCCATTGCACTAAACATATTAAAAATATATCAAATTACAAAATTATTTGATTTTTATATTTAAATGAAATAAAAATCTAAATAAATAATTTTAAATTTTAGATATTATAATAAATATGGAAAAAATCACCTGATTATTGAGAGATAGTTTTGATAAAAGCTCCATAGTAAATGTATTTCATACAGCAAAATTATGTTTCAATAAATTATAAATATTAAAATAAGTAAACTTGAAGGATTATTTATATAATACTTATAAATTTATAATATATTAAATTTTAAACTCGTGTGGTTGTTTTTATCCTTTATCACAAATTTAGAAATACATTATCTATTTTAAAATGCTATCAGTTATCACAGAATTCTGTGATACCATCACGGTTATCTAAGTAGATAACCGTGGTACCCATAAAGAGGTTACACAACTGCTACATACTACCACAGATTATATAATCTGTGATACTACTACAACTGCTACGATATTTTATTATTACTATTATTATTAATAATTATACAACAACAACAGCTATCTTGATCTTGAATGTTAATTATTATAATATTATTTTTCATTCTTTTAGATTGTATGGTAAACAGCGATTTTAAATAATATTTTTGTTTTAAATATCTAGCTGTGAACCACTGCTACAATATTATCACAGAATATTAAAATAAAAAGAGTACCTAATAAAACCACAGAATCACCATTTAAAAACGTAGTTTACTAGTGTAGTCTTACCACTGCATTCTAATAGTTATACCTAATATACTTAATTATATATAATCTAAAATTATTATTCTGAACAAGCGACAAACTATGTAAATACATCTACTTGACAACTAATTATAAAAAAGTCTGTTTTTGCTTTGTTTGACACTTTATAGTATTTTGGAATCAATGTGTTGATTTTTCGTACACAATGTTTAATTTTAACATTTTTCATAGACTTGTAGTCTTATCGATTTTTCATTGTCTTCAGATACTCTACTATTTGATTGTGTACTCAATATCGGATTCATGTATCGTACCTATACTCTGTTTACCGAGATAATGTGGTTACATAGGTACAGACGGAGACGAAGTCGGAAGTGTTGATTTAGGTGCTTGTGGCGAGGAACGAACAGTTTTGGATTGTACTCAACCACTTTCTCTCGGCGAACGTAGTACACTTGTGATGAGTTATAAAATGTTATCATGGACAAAATATTGATCCGGATTCCGGGCAGTAATGTAGCTATTTTGCCTACACAATACGCCGGGCCACATATTATGACTTGTTAGCACCAATTATGTCAAACAATTTATATGATATTACTATAAAAGTATAAAAATAATATCTGCATTAACCGTCATTGCCATGGAATCAGTGAAACCGAGATGGGCAATACACCTGTAGCGGATAGCAATAAACAACTTAAACAATTGCGAACAAAATTGATTTACAGACGTATATGTGGTTTTGATTTTAATATTGTCAATAGCAGGTAAAGTAAACCACTCTAAAATAACTAGTTCATCTGCAGAACCTTCCACAAATTGTCGAAATCGGAAGGTACAGGATTTTTTGGTATGTAAAACGTAATCATTCCATTCACTTTGCCACTAATATATAACACATATTGCTCAATTTTAAAATAATTATGTATAATAATAGCTGTGTTACTTAAAATTATAAAAAAATACAGAAAATGGCATACACTTTAATAACTATTTTGTAATCATCTTGTAAGACTGTGCCCATTAGCAATAATTGAAATAAGCAAAAAAAATATTAAGCTACGTAGACACGTATTTTATTCCCTAGCGGCTAGCACGATATACATAAAACAGTACTGTAGCCAGGATATTTTTTCGGGGGTGATCCTTTTTTTTGGTGGGGGTTTCAACATTGTATTGTTAGGGCCAGGGTACTACAAGGTATAGTAAGTCTGATATTCCGGGGGGGGGGGGGGATTCAGGGGGGGGGGGGGGGGCTTTAACCCTGACATATTATTTCCCAAGTTCTTTTCATAATTCTGCAGATCCTGATATTACTATATTTCAAATTACACGTATGTCAGATAATATAATATATTATTATACGTATCATTTTGGGGTGAACAAACTAAGATGGTATTATCTTAGTTCATTATGTTTTTCAATATTGTAATTTTACATTAACAAAAAATTGTGGCCCCCCCCCACCCAGATCTTTGCTCTAGATCCGTGCCTGGCAACAGCACTGACATAAAATACGTGAGCACAAAATAACCAGAACTTCGTCGTGTAATTTTATATTACGTATTACGACACGACACAACCCACTCATAGTATAATGATAATAACAATTATTATTTATCGTCCTTATACCTTATACCTACCCCGAAAATTTTACACCTATTATTATAATCGTATGTATACATATCTATCAAAACCGAAGGTTTTCTGCTCCAACCCTACAATAACCTGCTCAATGTGTGGCGTTTAAGTCTACGAAGAGTGTCAATCGCATGTATTGAACTACGAGTAAATTTAATGTATTCCTCCTATATGGTCTTTTAAATAAATCTAGGTCCACCAAAAGCACTGTTTGCTACACTCGTGTGCTTTGTGTACGCCTGTGAAGTAGTCAGTAGGTATACGTTACAATATTAAGTAATCATTTTTATTTATGTAACTTATAAATCCTTAAATAAAATATTTAAAAGAAATAATACATAATAAATACATTGTAACTATGTAAGTTACCCGTAGTAAATAATTTTTTTTAAATTTATTAGAGATTAAATAATTAATTGTTTTTTTCTAATATTTCTTAAAGGTTTAAATCCAAATTAAACATCACTTGTGCTTCAAAAAAATTACTTTACAGACCGTAAAAATGCTCTATTAAAAATAAAAAATAAGAAAAAAAAACAATAAAATACTTATTTTAAAGCTTTTAACACAAAGACTACACAGCAACAGCCTTTCACTTGCATTGCTATATATGTCTAGATTGCACTGTTATACACAATATATTTTGATTTATGTACTCTGGCAGTCTGGATTATTGCTTGTTTTTTAGAATGGAACACTGAGGTATATATTTAAAATAACAACAATTATTAAACAATAAAATAAACTGAATCAAATTTTTAATATTTTAATATCTTTTTGTTTTAATGAATTATATATAACAAACATTTTAATCTACGTCGTTATGGGACCATCAAGAATAGGTTTATCAACAAATTTCACGGACAAATCTTGAGATGTACCTTCAAGTTCTAATATCACAAGTGTATTAACATAAGGCGATGGTTTTAAAAAAGGAGCTGGCACATAAAGTGTAACTTGAGGTCCACCGAGCGGCCAATACCGCCCAAGATTCACATTGTTTAAAAACGCTACACCCTGTAAATATTGTTTATTAAATTGCAAATATATGGATAAAAATTGACTTAATATAATTAACTTGAAAAAACACACCTTAGTCCAACCTGAAGTGTCTAAATAAGTATCTAAACATTTTGTATAGTTTGCTGGCAATGTAAACTGCGTTTTATAAAATGCCGGTAATAGGACACTATTGACATTTTCATCCGATTTGATTGAAGATATCCATGATGTATCATTCAAAGGATGTGCAGTCATTTTCCACGGGCTTAATATTTTATTTCCAAGAAATACTTGATCAAAAATTCCCTAGAAAAAGTATTTATTATTGTTTTCAATACAATATTTTAATTAAGTAATTATACTCAGTTTGTAGTTTAAAAAAATACAATGCAATCTGATTTAGTGATGGTAAATATTATAATTTTTGTTTCTAAAAAGATAATGTTACCATCACTCATTATCACCACAAATAAATTAATTTATCATCAGCTATTATTACCTTTCTATCTTCAATAAAGTCTCCATAATTAATCCTTCCCTGATTTTCAATTAAAATACTTAGGTTTTGTACTGAACGGTTTATGTTCAAACTTATTGTAGTATTACCTTTTAACCGATTCATAGTACCTACTTGTACCTGAAAAAATATATTTAACACTTGTGTTTCCAAAATTATACAAAGCAATGTAACTCTACTTGATCCAGGTAAATGATTGCTCTATCTCTAACAGTGTTCACAGTAAGATTTACTGGATTTTCCACATTCTTCTGATCATCTGTTAACGTTGTTTCATACATTACAAAACCAGTGTTAATATCCAATTCCTCAAATGGCAAAGGAACATTACTGATCACTGGTTTAATACGTTGAGCAACTTTTTCAAATATGCTAACCAAAGGTCTTAAATAGAATTTACCATAGGCACCTTTAGGCGTGGGATTTGGTGATATCTCATTTGTCACAGCATATTTCTTTAAAATAATTAATTAATACACTGGTTATTGGATGGTTAACTGTAATAGAAACTCACAGCTTCTTCAAGTGTCTGTTTGATTTTGAAATACTTTTCAGTAGGGTCTCCAGCTTCATCTAATGGTGCATTATAATCATATGAGGTCAATTGCGGTAAGTATCCAATACTTTCTTTAGTGTCATTTGTATTCGCTCCAGATGTGAATCCAAAATTTGTACCCCCGTGAAACATATAAAAACTAAACGAAGCATTCATTGCCAACATTACTTTCATTTGTTTTACAACATCAAGGGCATTTACTATAGATTCTGATTCTTGCCAATGAGTTAACCAGCCAGGATAGAACTCTGAGTTGACTAGTGGACCTCCTTTTTGAACTTTTTTCATGAAGTCAAAACATTGGGAAGCTAAAACAAACATACAGAAATGAACTATAATGCAAATCTGAAATACATTTAATTTTGATCCTATATCTCTCAATGTTTTGATGACATTTTTTAATTTTTCACATACCAAATAATCTACTTGGCCTTTTGTCAATACTAACCGTTCGATGAAATTCCAAAATCGACAGTTGCGTATACTTCTGGAATAACACCACAGTCAAAGTATGACTGACCACATCCATCAATTGTAAAAAGCACAGCCTTATTACTTACGTAGCTCCTAAATAAATCACGTATCCATAATTTATACTCAGAATCGCAGGCATAATAACTTCCATACTCATTTTCTACCTAATAAAATATGCTATAAATCAAATTTGAACCAAACATCTCAAAATTGAACATGTAATACCTACATGAAGTATTTTTTTCTCACCTGGACCAAAATTATATTTCCTCCATTTCCATACAAGTGAGGTTGAATTATTGGCATAAGCACACTAAACCATTTTGAAACATATTTTTTATAACCTGAAATTTAAGTACTCGCTTATTAAGTATAACAAAATATAATAAAAATAATATGTAATTTAA